GGGGCTCCCGGCACAGCCCCAGAGCTGGGTGTGCTTGGAGGCGCAGGGCTGGGCAGGAGCCCCCCCGACGGGTGCTGTGCACCCCACTGTGCACCCCAGCGTTTGCTCTGGAGGAGGCCAGAGCCCGTTCCTGCCCTTTTTTAGCCTGCAGGGACGTGGGCTGCCTGCTCAACAACAAGGTGGTTTGTGCTAATAAAAATCCAGCAGCCCTCTTGATTTACGACTTATTTATCTCTGCAAGGTGCTGGGTCCTGTCTGCGCTCTGCCTGGGGGTGCAGGATGGGCCCTGACGGGGGCACTGCTCTCATGTGCAGGTGCTGTGGGCACCTCTTGGTGCCCAGGGCTGTTGGAAGCCTCTGGACTGCACACAGAGCTCTCCTCGTGGTGAACTCACCTCTGCAGAGCAGCCGGGCTGCTTGTCTGGGAAACAGCCTCTGTGTGTGCACGTGGGTTACTGCAGCCTCTGCTCTGCCTTGGGAAGGACTTTGATCACAAAATCATAGAAACGTTAGAGCTGGAAGAGACCTTTATGGTCATCAGGTCCAACCATTAACCATCATTCCACATCATCCTTTTATTTCCTGCGGTGGGTGGGAGGTACTGGGAGAAATATGGGAATTGGGAATCCAGCAGCTCCTGCCAGCAGCTCCCAGGACAGCCCTGCTGCAGGTGGGCTGGGGATGGTGCAGCAGGTCCCTGCACACCTGCCTGGCTGCCTGATGAGCTCGTTAGGGGGGTAATTAATGAAGGGAGCAGCAGGCTATAAGAGAAGGGTCCTTGTCTTCCTGCTTTGTTTGCTGGCAGCACACCAGAAGCAGGTCTGGAGGAGTGGTGGAGGCAGAGGCTGGATCCTGAGCTGACCTGGGCACTACCCTGAGGGCTCTGGGGACCAGCAAATGCAGGTACTGCTCTGTTACTCTATTGCTTTACTGGGGGGAGGCTTTGGAAGCTCTGTGGCCTGTGCCACCCCTGTAAGTCTAATGTGGTCTCCAATTCTGGCTGTTGCACCATGATGCTCAGGGTGGGTTCATCCATGGTCACCCAAACCCTCCAGCCTGCAGAGCTCCCGGGATCCCCCCTGCAAAGTTCCTGCCTTCCCTTTGCTTTGTGCTTCTCTACCTGCTGTGCTTTATGAGCATGATGTGTTTTAATGGCCAGGGTGGTTTTGGGTGTGTTTTGAGGCTTTGGCTTTCCCTTTGGGATGCTGTTGAGTGGCAGCAGGGTGAGCTGTGCTCCCTGTCAGGGCTGGCTCTGCTCTCCTTCCCTTCCCTCTCCCCAGCTCTATCAGCTGAGCTATTTTTGAGGTGGAGGAATGTTAGGTAGCTTGAGCAAGTGCTCGGAGAGCTTCCACAGCTGAGGAAGCAGCAGCATGGCCACGTACGTGGGTGAGCTTGAATATCCTCTTAAGGGCTTTTGGGGATCCCTGAAGGGGAAAGATAGGAGTGGGGGGGGACACCGGGGCTGGCAGGAGGGGTTAGGGGTGGCCTGGAAGGTGCTGGCATGGACCCCCCAGTAGCTGCAGGTGGCATCTCCCCCTGGGGAAGCAGGTGGGTGTGCCCTGGGGCCCTGCGTGGCACGGGGGGAGCCGGACACAGCTGTCCT